TTGGGAGATTTCTTCAATAAATACAACCATGTGGTTGACACAACAAATTTAGCGCAGAGCAAATTGCGACCTGCAAACCCCAGCAGGGAAGCTGAACCTGGGCTGCAAGGGGTACCCACAGCTTCCAGGGACTGGCTGGTTTTCCTCTACTGCTGCAGTAGAGAAATTGTCTTTCAGAGAACAGGAATTTAGTTGCAGTGCTCTGCAACAAGACCTGTGTACCCTGCTCCTTCCTTACTACAGAAGAGTTCCAGCTCACTGGTTAATTTTGGTGCCAAAATCCTGGGTGAAATTCTGGTTTTGTTTCAAGTACGTCAGGATTCCCACTAATGCAATGCAAAATTTAAACGCACAAAGTTGTACGTACAAATAATAATGAATGTGGATTTGAAGTTTCTGCTCTAAGTGTTGAGCAATGCCTTTTTTTGTAGTGCAGATGTTAGCTTGCGTTTTGCTCCTGTTTCTCCCCAGTCCACATAAACAGCTTGGATCCTTTCTGTTCTTGTGCAAGTGAAACTTTCATTAAAATAGACCCTAGTTTTGTTTAGCTTTTTTTTTTTCCTGTGTAGGGACTGAAGGAATAAATTCACTTATAAATCTTGCATTTTCAGTTACTTTATTTTAAATTGGAAAAATGCATATTTTTAGTAAAGACTGCGACATGACTTGCTTTTGGATCCCTTACTTTCTGTAAGAATTACTGCTGTTAGTCAGCTTAGGCCAAGAGTACTGAGTCCACTGTTTCTTTTGAAAACAATACTGCAGGTGGGCTACTCATACAGGGTCCTGATGGTCCGCAGTTGGCTGTGGTAATTCAGCTAGTATTAATTGGTTACAGATGTTTGTTTCATTTTGCGATCACTTGATCTTTGACCTAACTTTTATGTAAGGGACCTCTAGTAGCAGCAGGCCAGCTTGCTCTCGAAGGTACATAATGTTGACCAGCTTGGTCTGCATGGCTTCAGATTCTTTTAAGCCCTGATCTGGATTGTGGCAGACAAGGTCATAACGGTTTGACACAAGGTGTGGTGAGGGATTTTGGTCCATTTCACAACTTTTCCTTCTCTCTGGTATGACTGGAGATCTGGAACGATTGGCCAGCAGCCTTCTCTGCATCTTCTGCTTTCTTAGTTTGGAATGCAACACTTAAAATTATTCTTGAACTTCTAACTGATTTTCTGTAGAATCAACCCAGAATTGAGTTGCAGTGTGTACTAGAGAGAGAGAGAGAGAGAGAGAGAGAGAGAGAGAGAGAGAACAGGTGTCAATTTTCAAATGCTTTCCTATGAATATCCAAACTGCTAAATCAAGGAAATCACCAGCAATGCCTTCAGACAAGTACTGACTTTTTGAAGCTGCAAACCAATGGCTGCTAATTGAAAATCTCTGGGCAATACCACAAAGAATGAAATTGGTGTATTAGCTAAAAATACAATGTTGTTGCTCCATAAGGAATTAAGTTCTTGATCTGCATCATGATTAAATTAAATGCAAAGTAGTTCTGAGGTTATTTGTTACCATTGGATAAGACACATATTGAGTCCTTCAAAATTACTTATCTCAATAATTGCTGTTCTCTTTCCCCTCCTAGGAAATCTTCTAAGCCATTCTTTTTCTTTTAAGTTTGCTCAGGCAACCAAGAACATAAGAGAGTTGATGCGCTTGTAATGGTCATTTGTACATAAAGGTGTAATTATTTATTTTCTCATTTGTACCATATCAAGGCTTTGTACAATGTTTTAAGTTTTGTTTTCAAATTATTTTGTATTTTATTTTTATAAACTGGTTATAAATAAAATATTCATTCAGCATGCAAAACTTCAATCCTTGATTGTGTTTGTATGGTGATTTTACTGCTTCAAATATACTGTATAAGGTTGATTTTTTTTTTCCAATTTTTTTTGTTGTACGTTAGATGGAGAAAAACTTTGTTTTCTCTTATGAGAAAGCAAAAAGCAAGTGTCAGTTGGTACTACTGCAAAAGAAGTTGATGCTCGTACTGCAAGAGTGAGTCAGTGAGAGTTCTACTGTTTAGTATATTGATGTATTGTGTAATAAGTAACATTAGGAACAACTCGACCCTCCTCCTTAAAGGCGTCCTTCTCTATTTGCTCATGTTCTTTATCCATCCTCTCTGCATTCACCCAAACGACAAATGACTGCCATGGCAAATCAGAACAATTTAGTGATGATATGGTGGATCCCAGCCTTGTTTGTGTAGCAAGCCAGCTAAACATATTAATTTGTAAATGGGCTAAATTATAATTTCTTATTTAGCCACAGGCCACTGTAATAAATTTATTTTGTCCAGCTGTCTGGACATTCATGCCAAGCTTTTACAGCCTCTTGTAAAGTCTCATTCTCTGTGCAATACAATTTAGCCGCAGATAGCAAAAACATTACTGAAGTTGTTATTGAATCTGGGCATTTTGTCCCATATGGAGATGCAGTGTTAACCAGTTGTTCTAGTTCCATCCAAGATCCTTTCATTTCTCTTTTTAGAAAAACTAGATAAAAGTACAATGTCATCACAGTATTTGTGGTCTATGTGCACACTTATCTTAGTCCTTGTGTGCTGTGGAAAATACTGCTTGCTCTTTGCACAGCAGAATAAGGTTGCTAGGGAAGTCTAGAAGAATTGGAGAAAACTTCTGGATCTCTTGCTTGACTTTGCCACTGTTATGCGGTGTATGTGAAGCAAATTAAAGGCCAGCTCTGCCCTTAAGAGCAGCTAAAAATGTACTGTTGTGCTTTTCTGGAGGGTGTTTGTTCTTAGTGTTCCCAGTAAAGCCACCATTTGATTACAGAAAAGACACAGAAAGAAACAGAAAGTCAGCTTTATTAACTGGAATTTGAAAATAAAAGTGTACATGCTCTTACTGGAGGTGAGATATCTCAGTATCTTAAGTTGCTTAGAATATTACATAAATAGTGATCATAACCAAAATGAGAGAGTGGTCTACACTCAGCTCCGTCATACCTACGCTGTACAATTGAGAGACTGAAGAAGATCCAAGGCTGGAACAGGAACACCACTGGAGATCAGTGCTGAGATCTGCTCATCTGATTTCTGAAGCACTTTTTTCTTTTTTTAACCATCTTCACAACCACAGCAGACATGGTCCACTAGCTCTTGAAATCTTGCTGCACTTCTTTGCACCTGGACCATAACTTTCTCTCTTGGAAACATAAACGTGAGACAGCTGTGTAGCACACACAAGCTAGCTTTCCCTAAGAAGGCTGGAGTAAATGAAATTAAAGAATCAATAATTGAAGAAAGAATTGAAATACAGAAAGAACTGGCTACTGCACTCTGGACAAGCTCAAATAGCTGCCCAAAAAGACCAGGTAAACTTCTGATTCACTTACATTTTTCTAACCCAGCCTGGGATATCACAGATTGAGAGGCTGCTTTTTGTATGCGAACAAAACACAAATGAAGGCTTGGCAGATCCCATCTGTACTGAGGAGGAGAAATATAAATGCTTCTAAGAGGGTTAACTCTATCCTGCTTTTGGTGTCAGCATTTTATGAGTAAGGTAGTGGTAGTTGTCACTCACACCATCTCCTTTTATAAGGGAATCCAGGAGCCAAGAACCTCCTCCAGGGCATAGACCTTGTGTTAATTCCCTGTGGTGGCTGCAATTGAACTGCACCTGGCTAAGCTTCAGGATTTGTCATCCTCTTCTACCGTTTCCTTCTTAAATAGTTCTTTTGGGCTTCTTAAATAATTTTGTTTCCATTCTTTGCTCAGCAATGCCTCAGAAGAAACCTGTTAAAATCCAGCTGTCCTGAGCTCCATCAGACTCCTGCACAGGCCTAAGATGAAATCCCTTGCTTTGAGGTAATTATTCTAATAGTGTGTAACTGGTGATGCACTCCTTGCATTATTTGCAGCTACTGTTAGCTCCCATATTTATCACATTTCAATGAAAATGGCCTACTTTCCCCCCCCTAAAGATGGAAGAAATTAGTCCTGTATTTTTGTGTAGTATAGTGCACTGTCCAAGTTGACATAAAAATATACATACCTTGCCTGATGTTTACTTGTTCTTATGCTGCTAAAAGGGGTAGTTGGGTTGCCACTTTGTGTGCAACAAAAACATATGTGCAGAATCACTGGAAAACCAGTGACCATTACCATAGGCCAATTTATCTTTAGAATTTTATACTAGTGATAAATGCTTATGAGGAGGACTTGAATGATTTTTTAGGTGATAGGATAACAGTGCAGGTGAGAGGGTTGCTGTATTTCCTTCAGTGAGTACGCTGAAAATATAAATGGAGTGCTTTTTACAAGGCACTAATATACAAGCTCTAAACACCAGTCTTCCACATATCTTAATGATAGCATCAATAGTAATATTTTCCTCCTGTTCAGAGTTCTTCTTCCTCGGATGTACAAGCATGGCAGATTTTACTAATCTCTCTGATAGGTAAAAATAAAAACTTCTTTTCATGAGCTATGCAAGAACATTTTTCTATTCAGAATCAGACTCTGCCTCCTGTAATTTATTTAACAGCAAGTCTAAATGTAAAACAATGCAGAAAGATTTTTTTGTTCTTTGTATTTCAAGTGATACCAATTCCAGAAAGCTTGCAAAATCTGCTTACAAGCCATAATAAGAAATGTCATTCCATGTCAAAGCCAGGCATCACTCGTCAGTTACTGTTTTTGCTTTATGTCTCTATCTTAATAATATCACAAGAAATAGCCTGCTCTGCTAGTGAAGTAAAACAAAATGCCTCTGAGAAGATGCATTTGGCAAGCTGGGAATGAGCAGCAGCCAAATGGAGCAATGCTGTACGAATTTGGAGAAGCACATCCATCATCAACAGCTCAATCCTAAAAACCATTCCTCAGGGAAGCAGGTGTATCCAACCCTTCCTGCCATATCTTCCTTGCACAGCTGAGACTTAGAAAAACAAAACCTCAAACCAACAGCAAACAAGCGAACAGTTATAAGTATTACAAAAAGCAACTACTTAAAAACACCAGCTCATTTTGCCATTTGTTTAATTAAAAAAAAAAAACCAACAAAAACTAAGCAACTCATGTAAGACAGCTCCTGGTAGTCAGTAACCATAACGTTACTTTTTCACCCAAATCTCATGCCTTTTATTTTCCAAAAGGTCACATTAAACAAAGGGTAATACAGACAAGAGTTATAGCCAAAATAAATCTGTTTGTTTTTGAGAGAGTAAGAGGATAAAGAGAACAGCAGAAAAACATTAGCCAACTGAAACTGAGTTAACAGAACTGGTATTTAGTGTTTAATGCCACCTCCTATAGAGAAACATTTCCCACTGGGAAAAAATGCGGGGGGCAAGTCCACTTTGCTCCTTCAAGTCACAGGCTGGAGCAGAACAAACAACAGCACCTAACACCACAGTCACTGTACATATATTCAAGTTTTACATGTCTGCAAAGCAGAAGTAGTAGCAGCCGTTTGGATGTTCTTTCTTAATGGTTCTCAGGGGGGGCCTGGGAAATTCTGAAGGACCTGGTTCCTGGGATGTAGAGCTGGAACTGCAGCTGCTGCTCCTGCTGCTGCTCCCAGCCATCTGCACCCGGCCTCTGTCCTCAGCAGGGGAAACCTGGGGAGAACCCGGGCTCAGGTACCCGGCTGTGGTCTGAGTAGAGGTGGTGGTGTATGTAGTTGGGCCGGTGTTGTTTTTCATGTAGACGTTTTTGATAGCAACAAGCGTATGCGCCATGATGCTCAGGCTGTTACTCAGATCCTGCATGCCTTGCTGCAGCAGCTGAAGATTGTGGTTGACACTGTCAAAGCCAGACTGAATCACCTGCATATGGGTCTGCTGAATCTGCACTAGGTCCGCTTCAGTTATTCCGATTTGGTCTGCCTGGGATCTGCCTTTTGATTTGGCTTTTACCTTCCCTGAGGAAGCACCACCCGATGTCCCCAGATAAGGTAGCTGCTCCTGGCTAGGTGGGACTACTGCCATGTCCTCAGGGCTTTCCTCCGGCCCTACCACTTTCACCACTATCTCTTCTTTTAGGTTTATCTTCTCAAGACCGGGTTGATGAGATGGGCCGGGATCATCGTTAAATCCTAGAGATGAGGGGAGAGGAAAAGCAGAGCAAAGTCAGTGAGGAACTTCACAGTCAAGTCAGGTGTGCTTTTACCCTTCAGCACACCCACCACCCTTGAACCAAGACCCTACCGCAGCAACTTGCACTGTGCTGATGCTTTTAGAACACACATCACCTCTATACGAGGGGAAGAAAACCCTAAAGATCCATTTACTGAATAGCCGTGAATTGTAATTCCCTTACTGTCCCCACCGCGGGGGCTAAGATGCAGGTTCCAAAAGACAAATCTTGTTCTGTGCTGTGTGTGTGCACGGTGACGCCGATCGCGGGGAATCCCTGTGTACTGCAGCTGCTGTTTCAGCGCGTTAACGCCCCCTCTCTCTGGGACACAAAACCATACGTAGTCACAGCACTTCGGGCAGCCTAGGATTGCACGCTGGCATTCTATTTCTGCAATTTCAAGAACGGGATCTACAAACGTGGACAGAAGGGGCTTAGCGCCGCCGGGACGGGAGGTCCGCTCCCACGTGCCGTTGCGCCGTAGTGTCACGGGCCGCTGGCTGCACGCAGCACTGCGCGTCAAGGCGCGAAGGCGGCGCCCCGCACTCACCCATCTCCCCCACGGCAGCGCCGGGCAGCTCCAGTGTGTCGATGCCGCCCACGATGGGCACGGCCTCGGCGTGCAGCAGGGAGCCGTAGGCGCGGGGGTGCAGGTGGTGGTGGTGGTGGTGGTGGTGGTGGTGGTGGTGGCGGCGGGCGGGCGCGGCGCCGGGCGGCAGCTCCTCGGGGGCCAGCAAGAGGCCGAGGGCTGCAGCGGGGCCCGGCGGCCCGCCGCCCTGAGACAGGCGGCACAGCTTGCTGCGGTCGCGGCGCTTCAGGTCCCGCCAGCGCTTCTTCAGGTCCTCCACGTCGCGCGGACAGGCGGCCACTGGGTTCACCTTGTGCCGGATCAGCTCCCACACCTTTCGCTTCTGGCCCGGGGAGGCGCGGCCCGGCCCCGCCGCGAACAGCAGCCGCTCGTGCTTCAGCACCTGCTCGATCAGCACCTCCGTCTCCGCCTCGTTGAAATTGGCCTTGCGCCGCTTGGGCGAGTCCTCGGCCATCCTCCGCCGCCGGGGGCCGGGGGGGCCCGCGGGGGGCGCCGCTGCCCCTTCCCCCGGCCCGGCCCGCGGGCGCCGCCGCCGCTAGGCCGGGCCCCGCGCCCCGCCGGGGAAGGGAACACCGCGCATGAGAGGAAAGGACGCGCGCGGCCGGCGCAGGCGCCCCGTGCCCCGCGTGTTGACATGGGGAGGGGGCCCGGCCCCGGCCCCGGCCCGCGCCCGCTCCGCCCCCGCCCGCCTCCCCCCCGCCGGGATTCCCCGCCGCCAGCCCGCCCCGCCCGGCCCTGCCGCGGGTTGTGCGCCTGCTCGGCGGCGGCTGCTGCGGCGCCCGGGAATGGCGGCGGTTTTGGAGCTGCTGCTGAGCGAGGAGGTGGCGGTCGGCGCCGTGGTGCGGTGGCTGCGGCGCGCGCCGGGACAGCGCCCGGCTGAGGTAACGCGCGGCGGCACCGCCCCGCACTTTGCGGCCCGGGGGGGTGTCGCGTCCCGCCGCGGGCCGAGCGGGAAACTTTGCGCACGGGGGAGGCCCGCCTGAGGCCCGGGGGCGGCCGCCGGGGGGCCGAGCTCCGCCGAGCGGGCGGCGGGAAGGCGGGACGGGGACCGGGGGACCGCTACCGCTCGCCGGGCCACGGAGCGAGGCGGAGGTGGAATGGCGGCGAACGTGGCCCGGAGCGCGGTGCCCCGTAGCCGCGTGCCGGCTGGGGAGGCGCGGTGACGCGGGGGGCTGCGCTTCCCGCCGCTTCGCCGGTGGGAGCGGCGCCGGTGCCGCGACCCGCTACGCGTCGGGAGCTGCTCGTGGCCCCGTGCGCACGCTGTGGTGTCTCGCGACCTGTTGCTGGTCTGAGCGTGGGGATCCGCTGCATCCGAGCACGCGGAGCTTTGTAACGCGCTGTGGGCCGAGCGTTGGTGTTGCCGTGGTTGTAGAAGCCTTTGTAACCACACGTTGACCAGGAGCGCTTATACTGAAGTTACATCGTGGAGAACAAGGTCTGTACGTGAAGCATTTTCAGCCCTAGCTCCTTAGAATGCCTTTATTTAAGATCAGAGCTTACTGCTGTCACCCCAAACTTCTCCCTCCTTAACCTGTGGGCTGCAGATGTGGGCCTGCGGGTGCCGTGCAATTTGAGGTGCTGACTGCTCAGAACTGGAGGCTGTGGGCTGGCTAGCGGGGGGTTTGCCTTGCCGGGGGCTGTGGGTGGTGTGTGGGGTGAGAAGGCCAGTGGGAGGCTGGGAGCTGGCAGCATGCCCTCATCCTACAGCAGAGCTATGATCCTCTGTTAACTCACACAGTGAGAGAGGAATAAAGGCATGCTGTGCTCAGAAAGGTTTGAGGAGCTGACTGGCCATGTGTGCAGACCGCAAGCTGTCTCAACTCTAAACATAGATGGGCAACCGAGGAATGGTAGAATACATCTTGCCCTGGCTTTTGTGGGGCAATTCTGCACTGCTGGCACCTGGTGGGTTTTGTGTGCTGGCCTTGGTCTGCCCAGGGCATCAGCATGCTGAGTCCGCCCTGTACCAAGGCTGTGCCAGCCTCAGGCTTCATTAGGGAGCTGCTGTGCTGCCATGCTTTCGAGGAAGAGTTTCAGCACTGGTGTCAAGGATGGCAGGAGTGAGATCATGGCCCTGCTCTCACTGCCTTCTTTTGTAAGAAGTACTTCCAGAACAGTGCTTGCTCTTCTTTCTTAAAGTGGAGATGGGAATCGAAATGAAACAAAACGTGCATGCGATTATTTTCATGTTACTAAGGAGGAAGTTGCTGCCTGTGAGCTTCTACTGTTGTTGAGATGGCACAGAGTACCATAGAGAGGAAACAGGAACGTGCGTGTTGTTAGAAACAAAAGGCACTTTTCCTAGCGTACAAGGCTTTGAGCCGTGCATGGGATATGAAGTCTTTTTGTCTAGTGTTACCATGGGAAGATCACCACCTGTTTAGTTTTATAACATGTTGATTCTATGAGTGTTTTTTTTAATTAGTTTTTTTTTTTGTGTGTGTGTGTGTGTGTTTTTAAAGGTTTGTTACTTAAAATGTCATGCATGTTGAAGTTGTGCAGTATCTGTTAGCTCTCTGGGGGGGTCCCAAGCAAGAGGAAATATGTAATTGAAATCATCTGATATTTGGCACCACAGGACTCCAAGTACTTAAACACTTGTTCTCACAGCACCCCTCTGTGGATGTAGGTGGCATAAGTAGGGAACAGAGAAGTTGTAGGCTTTTGTTTTTCATGTTAGAATTAGCTGCTTGAATATCCATGCCCTACTTTGAAACATTGGATGCAGAGGTGCCAGTTGCTCCAGGCTCTTGCTGGCCACAGCTCCAGTAAGTGTCACTGCTGTTTCCAGGGACAGCTCTGCTAGTTCCCAACTGGAGGCCAAAGTGAGTGACTCCATTGGGAATCCTCTGCCAAAATGACTGTGTGGAGGCTGACTTTCAGGCTTGTGCTAAGGCCATTTGAACTGTATTGGCCTACTTTGGCATATCATGTTGTTTTTTATTGTGTATTGCAGTACTAAATGAGTCTAGACAAGTGAAAAGAAAGAATGAGGAAGCAACTTTATATTAATGCTTTGTCCTCTTTTGTAGGAGAATCACATCCATGACAAGCTGGTATCGTTCAGTTTGCTTCAGAAGGACTTTGTGCCTTTTCTGCTGAATTTTTTAAGGGAGCAGACCAGCCAGATACTGACTAATGGACCCTCCACTCCTGCTAAAACTCCCAATTCCAAGGCCCACAGGAGCCAAAGGACAGGACCAGAAAGGAGAGCAGGCCATGCGACTAGCAGCCGAGTGCAGCTCTTTTCCCAAAGGACTTCGGTGACTTCCTGCACCACAGACACCAGCTTTTCCCCCGCTGCTGCATCCAGTTGTTCCTCTTCCTATTCTGGGTCAAACCTGTCAAGCCCTTGCAGTGACTTCCCCAGCGTGGTGTCCAGTAGCAGCCCGAGCTTTGGGTACAGCCCTGTGCTCACCCACAGCGAGAAGCGTTCGGCTCAGAAAGCCAACCTGGGGAGCTTCCTCGCTGCTGCACCAGAGGCCTTGCCAGCAAGGCGGGGCAGGAGGAAGGGCAGCAGCTCTATCAGTGCCTCTGGACGGCAGGTTGCTCGGGACCTGGGGCGTTCCTTGGCCGAAGAGGAGGATGGAAAGAATGAAAGTGCATCGTGGAGTGGAGGGAGAAGGAAGCGGAGCGAAGTGCCTCTTGTTGCTGCTAGAACCCCTCCCAGCCAGCTGAATCTTAACAACCTAGAGGAGTTCCCGCCCATGGGTACCGCCTCTGGCTGGACAAAGTAAGAGTGTGTCCGCCTCGCTGTCTCATTTGGATTGTCCTGCAGGTTGCTGTTCTGTTCTGTTGTGCACCTCTGAATGCTGTCACAAACAATACCCTGCTGCTGACTTCTTGTTCTCCTTGGCCAGAACAACCTTGTAACTGCTGCTGAAGAGGGGAATATTGCAGTCACAGGCAGTCAGCTTCTGGCTCTGTGTGCTCACCTCAGTGTCCCTTCAGCCTCTCACTTGTGTTGTGCCTGCAGCTTGCTGGTGCACAGGCCAGCTGCCGTAAAGCTGAACGCATCTTTGTCCTTCTGTGTTCTAACAAGAAGAGCTTAGATAATGCTGACGTGTTTCTTGTTTAACACAATAGCAATTGCTGATCAAGTGCAGCCCTGGAAGGCTCTTCAGCTTTACTGATGCAAGGAAAAAAGCTTTTGGGTTGATGTTTTCTGAATTCTGGTAATGAACATCAGTGTGCAGCTTCATTTATGTCATGTGGTTATGGACAAATAGATGGCTAATTCTCATATTCACTTTGGTCTTCAGCAGGCCCTTCTCTCCCTGCTGAGACTACTTTTGCTTTGGGGCAGCTGTTTGTCTTGTGATTGCCTCACTACTCTCTTTGATTATTTCACTCTTCAAAACTTTTATTAGCAAGTATAATGCTTTCATGTCAGGCTGTTTACTCTGTAAGCCAGACACTGGCCTCTGAAGGGATCACTTTCTAGTTGGACAATTAAATTTCCAGCACAAAATTGATAATCTCTGTGTTTGCCGAGGAGTGCCTCTTACAGAGCCTCTTCCTGAAGGTCCTGTCTAGGTAGCGTAAGCGGGAAGAATGGGTTCCCCTGAACTTTAAGGATAACACATTACTGGGATATAGTGGTAGCTTGTTTATTTCTGGTTGTTAGAAACTGCTGGTGAATCGGTTTCATGCGAAAATAATTCACCTGATGTCCTTCTAAACCAGAGTTCTTTGGAGTAGCTGCTTGGCAGTCTTTGTCACTGTTGTGTGCACTGTTAATAATTACATGTGTTGGCAGCAAGGGGCAGCAGGCTGTTTTTTGCCATCCATAGCTCCTTGAGTACTGACACTATCTACAGATAAAGTTTAGAAGTTCACAGTGCTGGCTTGATATCTGTTTTATTTTAGCATTAGGTTCTTTTGGAAGAGTTTAATGTGTATCAGTTTTGAGATTTAATTTCTCTTGTAGTTTTGGTGATGTCAATGAAATTCCTTCTCACTCCTTCAGCAAAAGCAAGCCATCAAGGCGAATCAACCCAACTCCTGTGAGTGCTGAACGCCCTCTTTCAAAGCCAAAGATGTGCTTCACTTCAACGCCTGTCAGCCAGTCTCCAGCTGCTCGATTTTCAGCGGGATCAAGCTCTGAGGCCTTTACCACTGTACAAGAGGGAAGCCCAACTTCTGTGATAAGTAGCAGCCTTCAAGAGGAAAGGGAGATGCTGAAGAAAGAACGGTACAGTTTGAACAGGGTGTTGAAGGGCTTGTATTGATTCTTAGTTCTCTTGACTGAAGATGGTATTGATAGGAAAGTGGAAATGACCAGAAAAGTATCTAAAACAGATGCTGATAACCTTAAACTTTAATTTGTCTAAAACCAAGCGTGACTGCTGTCAGACCAGTATGTTAATGCACTTAGCTCATGCTTGTCATTTTAAAGGTGTACTCACTCTGGAATGGCAACCTTCATTTTATCTTCAGGAATCTTTACTGCTTTCTTACCGTTGCCTTTTCATGGGTTTGCATGTGTGGTTGTCTCCTGTCCAGCTTTTCATAGATTGTAGATGTGAAATGTGTTGGTTTGAGTGCATGTAATCAGGTGTATCTGAAGACATCATCTGTCACAGAAGGTATTGTCGAGTTTGAAAAAAAAATGAGTTAACAGTGCAAATGTGGGGAAAATGTTAATGGAATTTAGGCAGACTAACACAGGCTTGTGGTCAGAGAAGCGGGATATGGGTAGCAGGAAATTCAATTTTAAGAAGTTTTAAAGTTGCTACCACAAATATCTGACTAAAATTGTGTGTGCTGGGAGATGAGGTGAATTCCAGCTTCTAATTTTGTCTGCTGCTCGGATACTAAGTGACTTTTCTCCATCTGTGAAATGATATCGCTGTTAGTCTGTGATGGTTGGTGCTCTGGGAAAAAAGCAAAGCCTGGTAATATATAATTGCTGACACAACTGCTAGTGTTCTTAGTAGCTTTTGTTTTTGGGGAAACTCCTTGGGACACGAGTGGAATTCTTTCCTTGGCAGACTTGCAGTTCACTTCAGTGGGACCAGAATAGGCTGGAACAGACTCACTAGGTTCTCACAAATTCCCTTTTGTACAGGGCCTGTACCAGAACTGGTCAGGATTCAGACCTACCTTTGTGCTCTTCAGTGGAGCACGTGTTCCAGTAATCTGTATAAACTAAAGTAGGTGAAATAGCAGTACGTGGGCTGGATTGGACCCATGAGGTGATCTCATCTAACCCATCGTGCTTTCAACAGAATGGTTAGTGCTTGGGGCTAGGAGCTGCTGCTGTGTTCTCAGTAGTGGTGGGAAGTGAGCAGTAAAGCTAAGACAGTCTCCAGCCAACTGGGTTTCTTTTTTGAGCAATGGCTCAAGGGGAGAAATTCATGCTGAGGTGGATGACAACACTGAGGGAGAAATGAAGTTGTGTGTAACTGTGTTTTTGGAGGCTTACTGTGGTAGGTTTAAGAAGTGCTTAGCATGAAGTAGTCTTCTTCAGTTCTAATTCATCAAGTGCTTATGTTCATTGCAAAATGGATGTTAGTAAATAACCTTTCTGCTTCCAATTTGAGACCGATTTGTTTTTCATTGCTGCAGTTTGAGGTTAGGCCAGCAAAAAAGTTCTTGGCTGTGATGAAAAATGTTTGTGTCTTCCCCATAGCCTTTCAAGTTACTTTTAAAGATTTTACTCTTGAGACAATTTGGACATAAGTGGATGTAATGTTCACAGTGTGGATGTTTCGTTGGGATGTTAAATGGTCATTTTATATTGCTGTTAATGGCTTTTCTCTTGCTTCTCATGTGTCTTATGTATGCTCCTGCATTTTGGGTGACCTCAGGCTTTTTTTAAGCAATACCTTTGTATTTAACTGAGTAATTGTTATTGATTCAGAATCCAGCAATTTAAGTAAGCAGTTTGTCTCTTCTGTTGCTCAACTTGTCGATACAGGATTTCATCAGTTGTTGCATTGCCTTTGCACGTACTCATATTGATTCTTCTCAGGGCATTATTTATTTGTAAATATAGCTGGGAGTCTGGAGATGAACCTTATTTTCACAGACTTTGCAGTGTCTAGCTGTCAGAAATTACATGGAGAATATTATTTTTTTGAGGACAGGTTCAATATTTTTAACAAATACCAATTTAGATGAAAAGAGACAACATAAGCATCCAAAGTGACAGGCTGCATCATCAGAGTAGGAATTTGAATGTGTTTCTTTAGCACTGCCATGCTAAAAGCTGGATTAGACAGTATAAATGATGTGGTTAGTTACTGCAGGACTTCCTTCATGCTGTGCTGGAAGGGAAAGGTCTCTCTTCTGGTCACATGGTTGCTGTGTGTCATTTAAGCCACACAGTATGTTGCTGCTCTTGAATTTCAGATGCAAGTTGCTGCACCAGACATCTTCTCCTGCAGGGATATCTCCTGATCCTGGGACTCCTACTAAGCCCACTTACACTCGCAGTGCTAGCCTTCCTGCTGAAAGCCATCTGGTGACCTGCGCAGATCCTGCAAAGGTTTCCTGCAAGAAACAGTTGGAGTGTCTGGCACAGCTCTACTCATCATGTATAGCAGGTGAAGACTGAGATGCGAGACTGACCCTTCTGTGAGCCTTGAGCTCATATGTGCACTGTGAGGGGAAGGCAGATAGCAAGTAGAAATTCTGGCGTGGTTGCTGTGTATAAATAACTCCTAAAAGAATAAGCTATGCCAACTCAGTTATTAAAATAAATAGATTTTACATGAAAATTTTGGGAAGTAAAATGATGTGGTACTCTGACCTGTAGGAGGCTGCAGTTGCGTGTCCTATCTGATAAGGTAAATTTGAGCAACCAGACCCTTCCCTCACACATCTTTCCTTGTTGATATATGCTGTGGCTGTGTGTGGGGAGGAGGTTCCTTACAAACTTTGCCTTAGAGCAGTTGTCTGTCTTTTTACCTTCATTCATTAAAACATGTTAAAACACAATATTCATCTCTAGTATCACATGTCTTCTCTTCCAGAAAACCTGGTACCAAATATTTTCCTGGAGGTTTTTTTTGTTCTGCAACTGCTAACATCTAAAGGAACTTCTGCTTCAGAGGAAGAAGAGAGTGACCTTGAAGTCAATGAAGGAAGTAAAGGTAAGCAGTAGAACTGAGTGGAAAGAATGTCCTTCCTGCAAATGATGATAAAGTGATGTAGGTAAGTTGCCTGTAGCCTGAACAGTTAGTATCCAATGCCATAAAAAACACAGTGGGACTCATCTGCGATACTGACAAAAATCATGTGTGTATGGGAGGTATTACTTCAACATGGGTCACAAATGTGGGCATGCAGGGGCTGTTAATATAGATGAATTTTGGCAAATCCATACTTACTCTTGATACAGTCAGTAGTTTGATATAGGTATGAGAAGCAGAGAGTGGCTTTAAGATGAAAACTTCAGAAAACTTTATTTATTTAACCTTTGTTTTACTTCTCAGTGTTTCTTAGGGCTGAGCTTAGGAACACAACGTGATCGTCATCATTAGCTGATCAGCGCTTGCAGTTGGTCTGCTTGTTGTTTGGCTCTGCTTATTGTTAGCCAAAAAGCTGAGAAGGAATATTTTCTTTCCCATACAGCATCAAACAGTTTAGTTGCCGTTAGTATCAGAAAGATGGGGATTTATCAGGTGCCAGGGAATAGGAACTTCTGGAAATTCAGTACCAATCTGGAAGATCATTTGATTTTTTGGATATGGCAGTTCCTTCTTTCCTCCAGAGCATATTATTGATTGCTTAGCTTATAAATTGTGATAGGTATTGTTGTCACGTGTTTCTTTTGTTTCCCATTAGATGCATCAGGGAGGCAGCACTTTCGAAGTGTGCACAATTGCGTGTACTTCGCTGTTCAGGTCTTGGATTATCAATATGAGTGAGTTGAGATGGTTTGTTTGGGTTTTTTTTATTTCCTCTGCTTGTGTTTGAGATAAAGCAAGTGTGCTTGGATCTTAGAGCTTTACTAATTCCAGGTTTGGAGATTAACTTTCCCTCAAAACACCCTTAAATTTGGCTTAAATTTGGATGGCTGTGAATTTTTCTTGCACTGGCCTCTGTGTGCAAGAGATGGGAAGTCATGAGATGAGTGCAATAAGAAAAAATGTCCCTGCAGATGTCAGTGAGATTTGATCCAGGGTGACTGGGACTTAGAACTCTTTACTTGGTGGCTTCTTAAGGATGATGTAAGCATTTCTTTGGGTCTGATCATGTTGTTGTTTGTGTCTGTATGTCTGTGGGTTTTATGAATGTTGTCTTGGCAGAATTATTTCCCATTTAGAAAAGGGGACGCTGAAGTTCTTGGCAGAAAATGAACGGATTGCAGCTTTTTCTCCCACCCTGCATGAGAGGCTCAAACAGGCGTATGAAAGCAGCACTGCCAAGGTAAATATTGGCGGACCTCAACTGAATGCTCTCTTACACCTCTGCGGTGATGAAGTTTTATTTATATTGGCCTTAATGCTAACTCTCGTTCCTTCTACAGTGGGTCTCTTTGTCATGTCGTCTTTGGGAAGTGTCTGAAAGTTGGTTTTTGTATGTTTTTTTTTTTCCTCATTGAGTGAGTGAATTACATAATCTCATCACTGTTAGTTGTGAATTGCTGCTGGCTGTCCTGATGTTGTGGACCTTAGCTTGTGGTTAAACAGAGCCAAGTTTTGCGTTTGAGATTTGTATCTAATCAACATTAATCCCAGAAAAATAGCCAGCTAGTTGCAATATCATAATGTAGTTGGGAAGAAGTGAATTTCTTTCATAGTTACAGGCTTCTTTGAAGCAAACAAAGCTTGCAGTCTGGAAAAAATGAGTTTCCTGATCGGATCATCTGAGTCAGGGAATTGAAGCTTGATGCTAGGAGTCTATTTTCTATTTAGTTTCATGCATCCCATTGCATTTGCTAAAGAAGGTACAGTGACTAGAGCACATCAAGAACTGATCAGTTTAGCTAAAGTTATAGATAAGGTTTTCTGTTATTTGAAGGCATATACTTTTAAAGTAGGAGACAGAATACAGAAATTGTACAGAGGCTTCTGTCCTCCTGCACTCTCAGAAGCCTTGTGTTGAAGATACGCTTTGGCTGTTTGCAGGTCATTCTTTCCACACTGAATACTAATTGCAGTCTGTTGATTGCAGTAAGAAAAAGAAGTTGCTTTGCTGTAGAGATAAGAAGCTTGCATTCATAATGAGTGATTCTGCCTGTGGAGTAATGTAGATTTTGCAGCCGTTGGGGTTTACCAGCAGTTGGCAACTGGGAAATGACTAGAGTCTGAACAACTCAATTAATGATTCTTGTTTTCATCGTCACCTCTCTCCACTGCTTATTCTGGGTGTCAGATTGTTGGATAAATTACACTTGCGCTTGCCTAATTGTTGCTTTTATGTTTTCAACAGGTGTCTCTGCTGCTGCCATGCTCTGTGCAATCTGTTTCTTTCCAGCCAGAAACTGACAATCGTTCTAACTTTCCCAGTGACAGAGCATTTCACATATTTAAGAAACAAAGGTAAGATTCTTTTACTATTACTGTATGGCTCACAAGGTATTATCTGTCCATAGTTGTGAACAAAAGAAGTCAAGAATATCCCATTTATGCTACATATTGTAGATTTTCACTCTAATTAAGGAAAGTCTTTGTCCATCTTGACTGTAGGAGCTAAATGTTTCATGTCTTTAGTGAAGAATAGCCTAATTCTTCAGGAGTTTTTGAGGCTTCTGGTAAATGCCAGTACATTCTGCTACCGTATATGTAGATTGCTTCTGAATATATATCTGGTATGCTTTGTATTCTTCCTCCCACCTCCCTCCATGCTTGCAGCAACAGAGTGAGGGGAGAATGGCAAGTTGTCTTGGTCCTTTTTTCCTCCTCATAGGTATTATTTTGTGTGGCTTATTTTTTCCCTCTTCTCAGTCTTCAGTATGTCTGATAAATGGGTGCTTTGATCGTTCTGTCTGAGCTTGGGCAGAAGTATAAGAACGTGTAGATGCTTGAATTACTTAAATCTAAGGTAGAGTCTCACTGAGTAGTTTAGAAGCAATTAAATGCTTAGTTGTTGCTACTTCAAATGTAGAAGAGTAGAAATTCCTTTAATATTTCACAGGGATATCTTTTATGAACTGCTGCGTGAGTGGGAGGATAACCATGAAAAACCTGGTTGGGACTTTGAAAGAGTTCTGGGCAGCAAGATCAGGTAGGAGTCTTCTGTAACTCCATCTAGAACTGAAATTTAGCTTTCTTGTAGCTAAATTACTGGTGCAACATACCAGACTCAGCATCCTAATTTCTATGTTCTTCCTAATGGTCTGACTGTAAAGGGCTGTGCTTCTTGGCAGGTAGCATCTGTGCAAAGTTGCTTCTATATTCTATGTAAAATTTTCAACTATCCTCTTAAAGAAACAAGGTGTAAGTGGTGGTGGCCTAAGATGATGAGTCTTGTTGTAACTCTTACCCTGTTCCCAGTCACGGAAAGAGTTACTCTCACAACCAGTACGTTGTGGTTTGAGTGCATTTTTCTGCATAGTTCATATTTCCAGTGCCCCACTTGTTTAAGCATGTATGTATTATATGTACAGAAACTTTTATCTCTTGTAAGTATTTCAGCAGGTTCTGGTGTCTTGGCTCTGAAAACAAGACTAGTGTGTCTCTTCATGTGGAAAGCAAATGGCTTTATTCATTTACTGTGTAATCAGTATCAAAATACAATGTATATATAAAGAAACCATTGTGTTTTTGAAAGCAGTTGCCTTGTGGGTTTCTGTGTTAATCTTAACCACCAGCCTACTGAAGTTACATGGACCAAAGCAAGGCTGAGGTTTAAGTGAGGAATGTTCATCCCCTTTGGGCATCAGAACTACTGCTGTTTTCTTACTTGCATCTATGTGAGCTCTCAGCTCTCTGCACAGGAGGAAATGGAAGATGAATGTATACTTCTTCTTCCTAAATAAAGATACTATTGCAGGAAAAGAAGAGAGTCTTTTTGTCTCTAAAGCTGTGTTTGCTCTGTAGACACTAAGGAAGAATCCAGGGAGAATTTTTGTTTCCGTGATCAGCAAATGGGGCTTGCAACCTGGTTGCAAAGAGGCTCCTTTTTTTCCATGGCCTTTGAAAACTGAAAATAGCTTTCTTAAAAGCTGTTAGTTTGTGATTTTGGTGTAATTTGAAGTTAAAATACTATTTTTGTACCACAAAGATCTAGTCAGCATTTTGTGAGGTTTTCCTTCACAGGGCCATGATGGCTCACCTGTCTGCAACCTGCAACCACAGCCATTTTGCCAGGCTCTTTCAGAAGCAGCTCACCCAGGTACGTTCCTCAGTTCTTCTTTTTTTTTTCTATTCCTCATGTGTCAAATGTGATTTGGTCCTTCCTCAGCCTGAGAAATAAGCTATTGTGCAAATTTGAGACTTTCATTTTGAAACATTTTCTTTTTTGGGGCAGCCCACTCTTCAGGAAGAGAATTTCCTGCATTTTCTGGAAATATAGATCAGTGATGAGTTACTGATCCTTATCCAGTTGTAAGGCACAGTGAGCATGTCGTGAGTTGTAAGAACTTATTCTTCGTGGTTATTTACCCTTGACACTCTAGTTTTAGAACAGTTGATTTTTAGAAATGATAACAATACGTTTTGATGTGTATGAAATGAAGAGGTTCCCAGTTCCATTCCTTAGCAACATTATTATGCTAACTTTAGAGAGTGTCACGTTCTTCTGTGTAACAGCCAAACAGGCTCTATTTGCTGTTGTATTTGCAGGAATTTTTGACCAGTAGCTGAAGGAATGAAAAAAGAAAGGATGCTCCTGATTGGAGTATAAGTTCTTGCTGTATTCCCTCTATAAGTGGCAGGCTTATTGATAGGTAATAATATCCTTTCGGGTGACCAGAATAGGCACAAAAAAACCCCACTCACATTACATGAAAGATGTGAGCTATTGAATTCCTCGTGTCCAATCTGAATTTGCGTCAGTGTTCTGTCAGGTAAAGACTGTGCAAGTGATGGAGGTTTCTCCACATGCAGATGTTGGCTGCTAGATGTGTCTGAGTTAGTTGTGTTTTCCGTCTCTCAGAATCTCTAGGCTATTTATGGCCAGGGTGGGTAGTGTGTCTTACATGAGGTAAAGAGATTTTTCTGTGTGTGCTGGCTGAAAAGACCATGCTTGAATTCCTTCTAAGACAAAATCTCATGAAGAAGGAAGAGTGCATAGGGGAAGAGACAAAATGAAACGATGTTTGATTATGAGTTTTCTACTTACTTTTTTTTTTTCTTCCTCTCTCTTAAAGATGTGTAAAGATCCTATTGGTGGTGGTGTGAGCTGGGGCGACACTCCAGACCAGGATGTCCTTAATATGCTGGGTCCTGATAATCTGAGCCGTCTGAAGAGGTTGCAGGAAAGATTTGTTGTTCCTCAGAGCATCAGGGGACCTTGCCCACCCCCTTCATTCCCAGGGTGCCAGCAGTTCTTCAGGGACTTCATCCTCAGCGCAGGAAGGTCAGCTGGTTACTATTTCCACAGCGAAGCATGGGGTGTGTGGGGAAAACTGTGTTGCTGTTGCAGCAGGGGTGTTCAGAGGCCTTGGGGCACAGTATAACCTAGGTAGAGCATATCAGCAATATTCTAAGGCTGCGTATCACCTCACTTAATGTCCTTGGCCAGTGAGCACATTAACAGACAGGGTTTTTTGGGGGCATGAAGTGCATTTCTGCACTACATTAGGCTGGATGGTGTAATCACTGAACCAGAACATCTTGTCACAAGCTACCTGCATTTCCCAGTGCCGAGAAGTGCAGGCATGTACAGCAAGGGCACCAGCCTGTCCAAACATTTATTGCAGTAGTGTAAGGAGCAAAGGAGATGGAGGATGGAAGCCAGTTTCTTGGTTTTCTTGAATGAGTTTTTCCCAGTCCAGAGCATAGATGAGTTGCCATATCTGACAGATTTGAATGTAAGTTCATTTTCTTCTTCCTGCTTAGACAGGTCCATATTATCATCCTTTTGCTGGTGCTTACTAAACAGTGTCTGCTTCAAAGAGCTTAAGAGTGGAAAAGGGAGTCAGCCAGCACTAGTTTTATCACTTGGTTCGTTTTCTGTCAATTGCTTTGTTTGTCATTTAATGCTTGATATAATTGAGAGATCAGTTTTAAATTTTGTGGCGTGTTAGTTGAGGTTGTACTGCTATTTTCAGCCCAATCTGACTCATCATCATCTTTTGCTGAAGTTACCAGTTCAATCAGCACCTGGTCGATAGCCTGTGCCTGAAGATACTTGAGCTAGATGGCCTTACTCTGGTGGAGCATGAGCACAGTGATGGGGAAACAGATATGGATGAACAGGTAAGGCTGTATTTTGCACATACATCTGGCTGGAGTTTCCCTGAACTGAACCTGTACTGAAAGAAATGTTTTGGTTGCAAGCTGTTTTAAGTTTCTACGAGTGAATTTACGGGACAAGGGTTTCTTTCTTCTGTTTTGTCATAACTCTGTAATTTGTACAGTGTCCAATTCCTGCATGTTTTAGAATGTCTTATAGAACTGTCTTAAGAGATGAGATGTGCTAGTTTGAAAAGTGATCTCCTGTGGAGGAGCCTCTTTTTATATTGTTAGCACCTTGTGTTAGATCTGTTTCATCATTGAAACAACTGAGTTTAGTTGTTGCATTCAGTTCCCATAGCTCCTTTATTATTGCTATTCCATGCAGAAAAACGCAGTGAATTTGTGGTCAAGGCTATTCAGGTGTCCCTTTACTCACAAGTACCATAGCTTTTAGACTGTTAGCAAAGTAGCAGCCAAAGATAGATGAAAACTTGCAGAGGAGTTGTGGTGCAAAGGAGGCAGCAAAGTGTCAGTTCTCATTGTCTCCAAAGTTGTTAACATGAATATATGACTGAGCAGCTTCTTGTTCTAGAAAGCTCTCAGTATCTTCTCATGGTAGGTGACGCAGTAGAGGCAGAACCAATTTAAAATATGTGTGACAAATATGCATTTTGGAAACATTTATGGAAAGCATTGATGAAGCTATGTGGCCCTTTTTACATGAATGGAATAGAGGTTTAGTGGGGGTAGTTGCTTTGCCAGCTCAGAGTGACATTCCCCAGTTTGCTTTTATTCATTGCAGGATGAAAAGAAGCGTTTCACTGTGGTACTGTTAAGCTTGAGACTCCTTGCCAAGTTCCTGGGCTTTCTTGTATTCTTGCCGTATCGCACTGTGGAACAACCAACTAGAGACCTGCAAGACACTGCGGTAGCATTGAGGAACCAAGTAAGAAACAAGAGCTTCAATCTAATGTGGCCTATTGCTTGATAGGCAGGCTTCCTAATCTAGTAATGATATTATGAATAGTTATGCCTGTTCAAAGCAAGGGAGTGATTCCTGGGAAGGTGTTACACTATTCTGTGCCCCATCACACATTCTGAAGCTGGAAGCAGAAGAAAAAATTATGTAACAGAAAAAGGGAGCAATGCATTGATGCTGAGGTATGAGGTGTGCTGTTATTTTTGCTAATCAGGGGCTGCTAGACTGATGAGTCTACCTTTATAGAGTCTGCCTTTATAGTGTAGAATCCAGCTACCAGGAATGATTTGGTAGTTTTTCACTCGCTTCCTAGCAGTGTGATGTAAAGAACACAAGAAGGTTTAACTCCTGTTAAACCTTGACTCCACCTGTACCCTGTCGTGCTTTTAGTGTTACAGCCTTGTATTTGAAAGTCCCAGCGGGATCTGTGGTTGCTGTCCCTCATAGCATATTTTTTGTTTCTCCTGGCAGATAAACGTTGTCATTAGCCAAAAAAGTCTCCTTTTATTTGTACAGAAGAAATCTTAGAAAGAATAGTAATGATATAGAAAAATATTTTTCGTTAATTATTAAAAGATAACTTCAAGCTGTTGCTTTAACTTTTTTTGTTCATTAAGACTTTGCCTGTGCTGGACATATTGAAGCTTCTGAGACGATCCATTCGGAATCAGCGTTCTGTCCTCACTATTCCTTGGATTGTGGAGTTTCTTTCTCTTGTGGATCATATTGCTCCTTTCCTTGATTACTATAGGAAGGTATTTTGTCTTTTGCTGCAGGTATACAGGTAAGAGCCTGGGAAAATATATCAGTTCAAAAAGCTCTTTTGTGCATGGTTTTGTTTGAGAATACATGCTGGTGCTAGTTTGAATTTCTTGTAAAGGTATTTTTTTGTGTGCAAATCATGAGCATTCATATCTTAGATAGCACTACAGAGGGAGGGCATTTTAAACAAAGAGAGAGAGATGCAATAAGTTCATGTTCATTGAGTAAACAAGATTCTTTTCTTCTCACTCACCCATTCCACATCTGCAGCTGCAAGTTTTAAACCTTGAATTTAAACCTCAGACCTGCAGGGTGAGCAGAGCCTAATTAATGCTTGAGTTTTCTTTGTGATATACATGAGGAAAATTTCAAGCACGTTCTAGAGAGTTGCTTAACACTATTCAGCACATTATTCAAACGTGTATGCGCAAAAGAGTAGAATTTGCCCTCCATTTTGTAGGCAAACAAGTAGGGAATGTGTACATGATTACAAATAATATGATTAGAAACTGAGTAGTTTGGAATGTTTTTCCTGAAAGTGAATTGCAGTAATGAAATCTAACACTGCCTTTTGTTGCTTTTTATGCATGGCAGGCTAATGGTCCTTTCTGAAGACAAAGAGATGAGTTTCCTGAACAAACTGCTGATCCTTGCAGTTCTGGGTTGGCTTTTTCAGGTAGTCTATTGTGTGCACACAGATTTTCCCCAAAGAAAAGGCAGACCACAGGACCCAATAAATACTCAATACTGAAATGAATTAAAACACTTGAAATTACTAGGTTCTTCTTGTGCTACTTTGGGGTTCAAACAATCCTCTGTGTTCTAATAGAGAGCTGTTGTCCTGTAGTCAAACTGTGTGAAGTAACTTTTTTTCCCAGTATGAATTCTAATTGCTGCTGAGCACACTTGGTCCTTAAATCCACATCCTTGTAAGAATATTGGCAAATTCATGTTAGAACTTGGGGCACAAAGGTGGGGTGCTAACTGGTGTCCTCGAATGAATGGGGATTTTTTTGTTGGATCAAAAGATGGCATGTGATAAACTTTTAAAATTCTTTTGTGTCTTCAGGTGGAAGTAAGGTGATTTGTTAGCAGGAATTTGCAGAAAAGGTTAAAGATACCATAGGGGAGGTTAAGGAAGGTGGCATGCATATTAGTGATTAAATTAAATCTTCAATTTTACAGCGAAGTCTCCTTGTGACAGAGAGGATCCTTGTTATGTTTGTTTGTTGGTTTGTTTTTTTTTTTTTTTTTTTTTTTAATGGTTAAAAAACTACTGTGTTCTTTCAGTTCACAGTTTCTTTTCAGAAATGGTGTAAGTTGACTGCTATTTGGGCTGTTCTGACTGGGGTTTCTGTTTCAGGTTCCATCGGTCCCTGAAGAATTGTTTTTTGCCACAGATGTCAGGCAGGAGGGATTGGTGATGGATATTGTGACATCTGCTCAGGCTTTGGTGAGTTAGTGCAGTAGCAGGCCCTCTGAATCCTTGGCTGAGGGTGGACCTACTGTGGCCTCAGGAATTTCAGATTTTGTCAGGAACTTGGCATCAGTGCAGCTGCATTGAGTGAGACTATCTAGGCCAGTGTCATTCTCTGATTTGTCCAAGTCACTAGTTTGCATTGCATTCTGGATTGCCAACTGTATGTGTTCAGAACTCGGTTTTGTCAGGCAAAGGGCATCTCAGCTGTGGCTGATAGAATGGATGCCATGTGGGAGGATCGTATAGTGTTCTCTGATTATCTCAATACAAGGTGAGCTGATTAAATTGCAGTTCTTCCTTCAAGTAACTAATAGTAATTGTGAACTCAACAAAAATAGTACAATAGGTCTGTCAAAGCAAGATTACTATTTTTGGTGTCACATGTTGACCAGCTGCATGATAAAGAGTGAGTAAACTAAAAATAATTTGAGCAAGCAGAGAAGTATGTGTTCAGGTAACTCCCAGACATGCAGGAGAATAGATGGTATTCTGTGAAAAATCAGCAGTATGTTTTTGAAGACATATGTAAGTCTTGTCCAAATTAGAAACCTCTGTTTTGCATCATCTCTTTAATGGCAGAGATGAGATGCAGAGGTAACTGAATATTTTGCAAATGAGTACACAACATGGCTGCCTACGCCCATGGAATCAGAAAAAGCTTTTCCTCCAGTGCCTCTGCCTGTACTGTGTCATACTGAGGTGGTGTTACTCCATAGTGTGGTGTTCTAGCAAATCTGGCTGAAGACACCTGTGGAGGCTTACTGTGCAGCAGGTGTTCCTCGTTTATTCTGCTCTATGGTTAGGCTCCTGTTTTACAAACAGCAACTGTGGCAACAGTCCTGGTTTTCTAACTATCAAAATTTAGTTGGGCTTTGACAGTGATCAGAAGATAAGATTGAGATACACTTGGACTGCAAAGTACGTAATTTTACTGTGAATTTGGAATCTAGCCTTTTCTGTTGTTTTCACAGAATAGCAGTTTTGAAACCTGCATGTGACCACGTGTATAAGATTTCTTTCTTGCTGTGTTCCTTCAGCTTTTCTTTTGTTCTCTTGCTAGGACTCTGTCCCCTTGGTGGATCAGCAGTTACTTTATACCTGCTGCCCCTACCTTGGTGAGTATTTTATTTTTTTTGTCCTTTAAAGCATTCCTTAGTCCTGTGAGTCCTTGGATTGTCTTTCTTTACCCCTCCTCACAGCTTTGGGTCTCAGCTGTGTGTAAGTGAACCTTGATTAAAAATCTGGAAACACCTGCAACTGAGAATAGTTATTTGGTAACTCTAGGGGAGGGAGGCTACACAGTCAGGGCAGTTGTACAGAGCTTGAATGCAGAGGAAAAGGAGAGCTCGTCCTTTACAAACTGAAAAGAAACACGATAATGAGTAAGTATACAACTTTTGCATCCTAGGTATAGGTGTTTGTACTGTGAGAAGTATCTTGAACTTTGGGTGTTTCTGTTATTAGGTAGAGGGGAAGAATCCTGTTGAGCTCTGCTGCTTTATCAGGTTGTTGTCTCAGACATCTTTTTCTTGGAATAATTGATGGCGTCTTTATGTGTAGAGAACAGAATGCTAGATGATGGGATGGTTCTCTGCTTCTTGGGACTTAGCTGCTAGGAAAACTGTGTGATAACCCTGGTATCCTGCATCATAAAAGCTAGAGGTTGAAGAGCTCTTTGAGCTTTTCCCCTGTGGTTTCCTTCTGACTCTGTTGTATTTCTTTTGTAATCTTTCTTGCCTTGTTGTCCTTGTAGGTTTTGTTATGATTTCTGTTTACTGTGCTAAAAAGGGTTTCATAGAAATGGCTTCTTCTGATCTTTCTGAACAAGTCTGTACATGCCAGGGAATTTTCTGGGATCCTGGTTTAGCTTTGGAGCCTGCTTTACTCTGCCCTGTTAGTTACACAGGTGGAATGCTTCTCTGTTTCTGAAACTTCTCTTCTGAAACTTCAGCTTTCACAGAATCTGAAAGAATTTGCTCTGGAAACAGGACTGACAATGTGAATTTCTCCCTGAGTTTTTGGTTTGTTCCCTTGCTTATGGGATAATGACTGCTTTTACATGTCTCCCTGTACAGGAGAGCTGCGGAAACTACTTGCCTCTTTTGTGGCTGGTAGTGGAGTAAAAAATGGTGGCTTTATAAGGAAAATCACTCCAACAGCTGCAGAGTCCTTGGCACCAAAGACTTCCATTACACAACGGAAACTGCAGGTAATCTGGAAGTCACAAGTGAAAGCAGAGTAGGAGGAATTCCCTGCATGGTAGTAGGATACACAGTAGTATCCCAATGTTAGGGAAAGAAAAGTATGGACCTAGACAGCAAGGAATGTTGTGTTTGACTGTCAGTCTTTAGTTTTCATTATTCTGGTTAAATCACGTGGCTGGAAAACCACATGGATGTTGACATCTAGAGAAGTTTAATAAGCATTCTTAGAATAACTCTCTCTTCTTTAGCATAAAATGTTGGCACATCTCTCACCAACTGCTTTTAGTTAGGTTGTAGCCATGCTTTTTGTAGGGTGTAGGAGTGTGCAGAATTAATTACCAGGCATTTGGGTAGAGGATTCTTTGTTTCCAAAAACAAGCCCTATGTGGTGACTTAACATTAGCAGCTGCCCTCAGAGCTTTCCCATTCTTCTCTTTACTGATCATTTGCTTTTGTAGCTTCGTAAACACTGATCATGAACTTTGAGTTAAGTGGTTAGGAGGAAATGAGGAATGGGTAGTTTACAGAGGCACCAAATATTGCTGGAGCAGAATACTCAAGTGTAGGCAAATTATGTGCCTTGTAGCACAGTTACATATGGCAGTTCTGTCTGCTTCTGTGATGAGGAGAGGAGGATGTGGGTGGAGTGCTCTAATCAATTGTAGTGCTTTTCTTTTGAACAGGTAGAGCTGGAACAGGCCTTCTTCCACAACCAGCCTCCCTCTCTGCGGAGAACAGTTGAGTTTGTGGCAGAGAGAGTGGGATCAAACTGTGTTAAGCACATCAAGTAAGTGCTGGTGATCTGTTCTGCGATATAAGAAATAACATAGTACTAACGAGGCAAAGAGATGATCTTGAAAGTTGTGCGTGCAGAGGAGGAGGAATGGGGGAAAGAAAGCTTCCCTCAGAGCATGCTGTACAGCTGAACACCAAGGCTGTACTGGGTTATGACGTTATGTCCAGTGACATCAGATTTCCTTCGTGGGGAGGATTTGTGATGGGATGTAAAGAGGAGGACTGCATGACTGTGGAGCACTTGGAATGTGAACATGAAGTAGCATTCTGAGATTTAATATCTGTTTCATAGCATTCTTGCTAATTATGGAAAAATGTAGGTTGAAAGGAACTGGAAGCTGGGCATCATCTTGTCCAAATTCACACTCAAAGCAGGGGCACTTTTATAGTTAGGTCAGGTTGCTTGGCATCTTGTCCAATTGACGTGTGAAAGCCTCCAGGGCGGAGATTCAGCATTCTTAGCATCTTGTTTCAATGCATAATTTTACCAGTATTTGTGAAAAATCTTTCCTTATATTCTATCAGAATTTCCTTTGTTGCAGCTTGTGTATCTTGTCTTTAATACTTTTGCTGTATGTTTTCTGTAAGTCTTATTCTGTGTTCTCTATGACCCTTTCATCCCACTTCACCTGCTTTAAGCTAAATGAACCAGGCTCCCCCAGTCTCTCCTTGTAGGTTGTGTGCTCTAGCATCCTAGCTGTGTTAGTGGTCTCAAGTGCAGTGTTACAGTGGTGAGGGGAACTGTAGCTTCCTCTTGACTGCGCTCTTGGTAACCTGAGGCTAGTGAGAAGCCACTCTTCTTTGGTACAGCCTGTCTGCTGGGAATGCTAGATCCTTTTCTGGAGAGTTGTCCTGGCTGGGAGATCTTGGCCCTTATACCCAGTACAGAATCATTACCCCACTATCAAACCATTTCTTCACCATGTCGGGGTCCTTCTGAGAGATAGCCCTGGCTCCTTACATGCTCTTCATAAACTTGCTGAAGATTTACTCTGTCCAGTTGTCCAACTTAAAGACATTAAGCAGTATCAGTCTTTGAGGAGCAGTGGTTGTACTGTGCTGCTGGTGACATCTCTGCATTTCTGACCAGAACTCATTGAGATTGTAGAAGTATTGGTGCCAGAAAAGTTACCGTGTAACCATTTATTTCTGTTAAAACTCAAACTTTTGACTCTGGAGTGTTAATACTATTCTGATATCTCTACTTGCTACTTTTTTCCTTACCTTTTTGGTATTAACAACAACAAAGAAATTGTGTGATTAATACTGTTTTATTAGAGTAGCTAGTTGCATTTCTGCCTGAGAGAGAGAGGTATTCTGAAATGAGGGAACCAGCTGATTACAGTTAGCGTGCATTGTTCCTTTTATTGATTTCAGTATGTCTGAATTGTTTTATGTTGTGTTTTCACAGGGCGACATTGGTAGCAGAGCTGGTTCAAAGGGCTGAAGTCATGTTGCAGGATAAAGTGAAGGAGGAGGATGCTAATCATGATAAGCTGCTTGAAGAGGTGTGCGCTCATCTGTATGATGAAGGAGCCCAGGCACTTATCAAAGGCAGAGAGTAAGGAGGAGAAGTTATTTAAATCTGTGCCTTTCCTTCTCTTATTGTGGAATCTGTAAATCTAATCTGGCTTGGCCTGTCCTGCTCAGGTTCTGGTAATTACAGACCCTGACCTCTGCTCTTCTTAGGGCGACTGTCTGCTGTGCTTCCAGCCAGATAACGCCATATCTGTAGGAAGGAATAAAGGTTCTGTTTGTCCCTCTGCATCCAACTCCAAACTGGCATTTACTGCAGTTGTTGTATTGCCCTTCTTTGGAAAACTGAGTATTGCTGCTTGAGGGCTTGTAATTCTTTCCTGTCTGGTCCTGTTGCCTTGGCTTATTTCTCTGTAGTCTTCCAACTAATTTTGACTGTAGGAGGGCATGTGAAAATTCCTGCAGTAATGAATATCTGCCTGTTGTCCAAGAACTTTCTGTAATACAGAGACCTGTTATTTTCTTGCAGATTTTGCAAAAAGAAAGGTCCTGAGGCGGTAAGGGTCTTATTGCCCGAAGAAACATCTGCAGCAGTACGTATTTTCACAAAGACTTCTTATAGGCCTTGTCTCTGAATCTGTTATCTTTTTTTCTCTTGCTGCCTCACTTACCCCTTAATAGCTTAGGACAACGGAATTTACTGATGTGCTGATGTAGAACCTGATAGCTAAGGAGAGTCACCCCTGTCAGGCTGTGCCTGGATATCACACTAAAGTGATGCTCTAGCCAATAGCTAACTGCTGTGACTAGAGTGGTAGGTAAATCACATATATCTTGCAAGGATAGCGCTTCTGATTTTAAAATCAACTTTGCAGATAGTTGATAATTTTTGTATGGAGTCAGTGGGGTTTGTTCTGTTGTTCAGAGTTAATGGTTTGTCTAGAAATCGTGATGTTCTATTTAAATATTGCATGTCCATATTAAACTGTATCTCTCTGGAGTTTTTTTTTTCTGATTTTTTTCACTGACTGTTAGCGTTGTGGTAGTAAGCCTCCTATCACCTCCTCCCTGCGAAGGTTTTGAGCAGTGCAGAAGACATTGCAGTGGAGCTGGCTACTGAGAAGGCCTGTGGCTGGCTTTCTGCTAACATTGCAGGTGAGCTTCCTCACTGTGAACTTCTAGCCTGTATATTAAACTCTTTTTCTGAGATCAAGGGGTTGAAGTTTAATCTGGTGCTACGTGAAGTACTTAGGTGTAAGAGCGGAGGCAGGCAGGAAGTGTGTTCCCTTTTCCTTTACTGGGAAGCATGCAGTTGCTCTGTCCCTCCTTTAGTAATAAAGGGAGTGATTTCTAGCTCCACGAATTTTCTTCAGAGACTTTTCAGTCTTGGCCCTTGTGAGTGATTTTTAGTTATGAAGGCTATTAGGATGGTAAGAATGAAAGTTTCTGAAAATACTCTGGCTGAGTTTGTCATAGCATTTCAAATGTAGGATACAGACAACTGTCAAGCCACCTTATGGTCCGTATACGTAGAGAACTTCTGAAAACTTCTGTACAACAAACACATCTTCAACTGTGTATGTTTTCAGCAGGCTGAAGGCAACTGTAATCCTTTTAATCTGTAATAGTGCTCTGGCAGCTCTTCAGAGTCTCTCAAAATCTACTGTTTCAGGAGATGCTGCCAAGAATTTGGGGAAGACTATCCAGCACCATTTGCAGCAGCAGGAGATTAGTGTTTTGGATGCTGGTCAAAATTTATTTTGGTACAAAACATAAATCTTTTGTGGGCACAGTGGTTGAACTGTCATGCTGATTCAGCTTTCTTCTTTGGTAATGAACGAGCCTCCTGGCTCAGCTACTTTGTTCATTACAGCTACTGAAGCACTTTTGATGGAAAATGAAATGGGTTCCCAGTGGTATCTGGTAGTAATGGGCAGCTCCTTACTTGTGCCTCTGGCCATTAATATAGTGGGAGCTCAGAGTCAGGCGGGTATGAAACTGTGAAGTCCTTTCCTCACTCACAGCAGCTCTCAGAATGAGAAGCAGATATGGGTGGCATTTGGAAACAGGTTGTCTGCCTCCCTGGAAAGAAAAGTGGAAGTAGATGGGTTATTTTTTTTTTTTTCTTTTCTCCTTTGTAGCACTGATTAAAAGAGAAGTGAAGGCAACATTCAACAGAATGCTGAAAGTCCCAGGACTTCCCTTGCCCAATGAGGATCCTGTGGAGTTGAGAAGGGACTGCTCCCCGGGCTGTCTGCACCGTGTGCCATTTCCCTCTCAAATAATCAATGAGATTAAGGTACATGCTTGCTGTCTTTCCCTTACTCCCTTTCTACTTTTCACCTGTTTGAAAAGCACTCCTCTACGTAGGGCCAATGATCTCTTCATGGAAAGTACAGAATATTAGCAGCTCAATCACTTTTGTCTTTTTCATCAAGGATGTGCTCTGCATTGCTGTGGGCCCACGAGATGAAGGGGAAGTGATTGATGTTGGCTGGCTGGAGTGCTTGCTGGGTCGACTGAGTCAGACGCTTCGGTGCAGAAAGGTAAAAGTTAAAAATCAGCAAAAGTGATAACAGTGAAAACATTGGACTACTTTGAGCCACCTTTGTGCCTGTTTGCCTTGTCTCACAGTTGAGTTCAGGCAGAGAACATCAAACTCAATTCAAGTTTGCAAAGTTGAAACAGCTGCATTGCGTTTGTTAGTCTCCAGATGTGCTCGTTAGTTGCAGCTTGCCTTTGTGGACTTCCTTGTCCTTCGGGATCTTGTCTTTCAGTCTTTGTTGGTCTTCTGATTGCAGCTCTGTGCTTCCTACTGTAAACTGCCTCCTATTCTCTGATGCTTTTATCCCTTGATATTTTTATCCCTTGTGAAGTCCTGTTTTGTCCAGTTTGCAGTGTGGGGACAAAGATGCAACTCTTTCTCTGTTTTTCAGTTCATGTGTCCCACATCAGAACAGCAGCTGGCAAAGTGCACGGTTGAGTTGGCTTCTTTGCTGGGTAAGTCAGTCATGAAGAGCTGTTTAAGTCTTCTATTGAATTCTTGGCTTCAGAGATTTTGTTATTCAGAACTGCTGATCTTTGGTTCTCTTGGTGCCATTGAGTCTGTTGGCTTTTTTTTTTTTTTTTTTTTTTTTGTCAAATCTGGATGGTTTTTATTTCCTTACACCTTCTGTGGAGGTTACTAACTGTCCTTCATATCTGGTGCTCTTATTCACATCTTCATTGGTTTTCCTTTATTGAGATCTTTATTTAAATGTGCTGTGTTTTTCTTCTAAAAATGTTGTTGTGGTTTTTTCGCACCTAGAACTGAAAACCTTATTTCCTTCAATTATATTTTCATGGCTTTTTTAAAATTACTTTTCCCCCTGTTGCTCTAATCAGTTAAGCTGTCACTTTTCTTAGTGTGAGCTTGCTGTCTGTATGCAGATGTTTTCTTCTTGAGCACACCATTTTTAGAAACTTTTTTAGGACTTTTTACAGAGTTCACTTCTTGGTCCATGTCTCAATATATCGAAATGTCATTTGAGGGGATAACAATGCAAATCTGACCATTTCCATTAGACTGTACCTAGGAAGACTTGATACTGTTCCCTCTGTGTATGTTTAGCTGCAGTTAAATACTGTAGGACTTTACTTTCACTTGTGTAAACTCTGCCTATAGTCAAAGCTATGTACAACTGCTTAATCTTTCCTAGATTTAAATGGTGTTTTCCTTTGTTACTCTTTTCTTTGGAATAGCACCTAGTTCCTATTTTATTAAATGTTAGGCTGACTGAACAGAAACTGAAATAATTTTGGGACTATATGCCAACTGACTTCTTTATCTCAGAGAAATATAAATATATTCCCATATAATGTCTCTTAGTATAGTTTCAGAGCACACTTTTGCATGTTTCAGACTCTACTCCCCTTATGTTCAGTGGTTTACGCTCAAGAGGTGTTTCTGCTTTTGTGATTGCTTAGTTATCAGCTACGCAAAATCTGCTGTTGGACTGAGCTGATGGCTGTAGAGAAAACACACAGGTGCGGAAGTTCATCTTCCTCCTGTTTCTTGCAGTTTCAGGTCGTGTTCCTCTTAGTCTTGGGATCAAGCCCCCAGAGGAGAGCTCCGAGAGGCTCCGAGTGAAGAATAATCCCACATACGACCTTCTGAAACTGCTGCTTTCTGTCTGGAAGGAGGACTTTGGGACACCTGTTCCTGTGCAGCTGATGTTCAGCAGGAAGAACATTGGCTATCTTGCAGAAGTGAAGCAGCAAGAGGTAGGGTTTATTCGTCTCTGAGGAGTTGCCAGTTACCTGCTCTAGTGTGACACATACGCATGGAAGTTATCTCACTTGCAGAGTGAACTGATTGCTTGTGGGAGCAAGGCTGTTAGCATCAGGCTTCATTCACAGGGATAGAGAAAAAGAGGGCTGCACAGTGGTCAGTCTCCAGTATTTGCCTTGGGGGCTGTTGGGAAGGCACAACTTAATTTGGGAGCAAGTGATGAAATGGCCACTCGGATGTAAGTGATTATTAGGACTGAACACAGTGACTGTGCAATTGGTCACTTCTGTGTCTTCTTTTAGCTTTCATTTTTTGTATACGTGTGGTGTTACCTTACAAGATCCTCAACTAGCAAAAGCTGAAAATTGTCTTGCCTAGTTGCAGGCTGAAACCAGCTTAATTGGGAAGGATATGAATGTTTTTCAAGCTGTTTGGAACACACAGGAATTAAATACACAGTATGTTTTGGAACTGAGAACTAGAGATGTTTAGTTTTGAAAATGTTATGGTAGAATACCGTGTATGAACTAAAGTAATTTTGCTTATTTGTTTTGGATGTTGCTCTTTGTTTTATCCTTTTGTTCATTTTATCCATGTTCTGATCCAGGCAAGCAACTCAAGAACTATATTGAGATAAGGGAACAAACACAAATTGCACTTATTTTTGAGATGTTGATATCTCTTTTTTCTTTTCTTTTTTTCTCTGCAGTGGGATTTGTTCCATTTCATCCTTCATGGTCTTGTAGAATATGATCTAATGCGGACCAGTGAAATAGAGAGTTGCTTGCGTAGCCTTGAAGAGTTCCCTTGGCCCTCAGTAAGTAATTAGGTGTGTGTGTGTGAGTAACAAGTGAAGCAAAAAGTAAAGCTACAGAATAGTAAATCCTTGTAGTTCAGTTTCCTGTAGATGCAGTCGTTAACAGTGTCCTGTCTGCATTTCCTGCTTAATACAGCAAAGGGATTGTTTAACAATAACTTGTTACTGTAACTAATGCTTTGGTTGAAATCTGTACCTGACTGAATCCAGAATATCCCATGCAGTGGAATCATTGCCGAGAAAACTGTAACCCAAGTTGGAGACCAGCTCAGTTACCATCTTTTACTTCATCCTGTATGCATTTGCAGTGCCCTGGCTGAGAGTGACCTATTGGGAAGGGGCCTAGCTGAGCACTCACCTTCAGGCCTCTTTGCCTCCCACAACCAGAATGGGAGAGAAGCCAGAATATTCTAGGGAGGGGGCACAAAATACAGGGAAGGGCCTGAGACCTGTGCTGCAAAGTTGCTCTTATTTCACATGTGGTGATGCTTGCACGTTGGAGATAGATACTTGTTGATAAAGGTTCTCAGGTTTGTATTTGTCTGTTGCAGGATTTCTTAAAAGCTCTGGGCAGCATTTCCAGTTTATTTCTATCGGAGCATCTTATGGAAGAGCCCAGGAGTAACCCCTGTGACCTGACCAGACAATCTCTAGGTACCGTGACAGCACAAAGTTAGTGGAGATGGACTCTCTGAGGATAGAAATTACTAATGAAGATGCAGGTGGAATTTTTAGTGTTTCTGAATGCACTGTGAGGTCCTTGCTGGGAAAATATTGCATGTAGGAGGTCTCTATGTGCGAAACCAGCACTGGTCTTTCTGTTTGTGGATGTGTTGCACTGGTGACTGCTGAAGGATTCGTATCAGCAAATAGATCACCAAGTCAGAAGTTCTTTAAGCACCTTGATCATTGCTCAGAGCAGCTGTTTTTTCAGACTCATGAACACTTTTGTGTTTGTACAGTAACAGACTGTGGTCAAACCAGGAATCAAGTTGAATGGACAAGTCTCTCTGTGAAGCAGGGGGATTGCTTCCTGGTGACTGGCTCATCTCTGAACTTAATGCGGTTTCTTGCCAGGGGAGGGAAAAGGTAACCTGTTCTGCAAGATGAGCCCGTATTTATTTTTCACTGTGAGCTCAATTTCGAATATTTGATTTTAATGTTTTTAAGACTCATTTTAGAAGTTAAAACATATTAAATATATATACACCAGAAAATGTGTAACATTATTCTTAAAGGATGTAGATGATTAAGTTAAGTTTTCTTCCACCTCTTGATGGAAACAGACCTTGTTATTTCTTGGAATTTTTAATTGAAATAAGGGAGAAAATACTTGATTATATTTTTCACTGAAGGCAGATGGCAGTATTTTTATGACTCTTTTTATAGTATGTGAACATAAATGGTATGTAGCTGCTATTTCTTGTTTTTTATAATCCTTCTTGCCTTGAGTTTGAATTTTATCGGACAGGAAATACTCCAGCGAGTAAACTACAGACTAGAAGAACAGACAAGAAATTTAGCAGGGAAAAAAGCAGTGCCACCTTCTGGAGAGATGGTATGAAAGGAACCTTTTTTATGGTGGGCAGTGTGCACTCCTTGCTTTTGTGGATAGATCATAAAGCCAGGGTGCAAGTTCCATTTTATCCAGCAGGGATCTTCTTCAGCAGGAGTTTATGCTCGGGACTGCTGGGGGTTAGCAGAAAATTACCTGCTTGTTAGATGATTCGGGACAATTTTTCTTTTCAGAGGATCTTTTTTTCCTTTTGTCTGGCAGTCTGCCATTAGTACAGGTTTGTCAGAAAGCAAATATTGTGTTAAGACCAATGTTTGGACTTGAAGCTGAGTATCTTGCTGATTAACTTACTTACCTCTTCCTTGTATAAGGTGGAAAAAAGTAGTTTTCTCATTGAGGTGGAGGGGAAAAACACAACCAGGACTAACTAGGTATAACTGTGGCATCAGTTGAAATGTGTGATACAGAGGGGAATGCCAGCATCTAAACTCCATTGAGGTTGATTGGGCATACGCCATCTGTGTGCTTTTTTCTTTTTTTTTTTTCTTTTTTCTTTTGTCTTTCTAGGGATTGTAAGACATGACTGAGTCAGAGGTTCCCTGAAAGTAGGTGTGCTGTGTGTCTGGTAAATGCAGGGTAATGCAAATTGAAATAGCGAGTACTGTCTCTTGTTTCATACCTACTTCCTGAGGCTGAGCATTGTGTGACGTTTTGCTGCAGAGCTCAGTTGAAGTTGTTGTTTGTTATAATAAATATGATTAAATGTCCTGTTTCGTATCCAAGCTGGTGAAATACAGCCTCTTTGTACTGGGACAAAGTACAAAAAGGTGCCTTGCCACAAAGCATGATGCAGAAAACATGGTGATATCTGTCCTGCACGCTGCTGTTTTGCTTGTGCTGCAGTACTGCATCTGTTACTTGACCATGGGAGATAGAGGGAGAAGCTGGATAAAAAGGTGCTCAGTCTCTGGAACTGAATTTATTTGGATATCTAAAACTATTTGTGTAGATACTGCGGCCACAGGTGTTTTTGTGAACTCAACCTAACTCAGTTATCCTTCTGTAATACAACATGCGTGGAGGTATTTATTTAAAAGGTGATCTAAACCCGAAGATCAGTTTACTACTGCCAGAGAATGTAATTGTGCTCCATTGGGCAGAAGTCAGTCTGTTCTTCAATGTTGTCCAGCAGGTAAGAAACACCTCTGCTTCTGTTTTCTTACATTGTCGTGTCATTAATCTACATAGTTAATGGGTGTCTCATGTTACTTATGCTTGGTGACTTTGGGGAAGCCAGGCACCTGACTCTGCAGCCAAACTTTGCAAGAAGGATACAGCACTCTGGGCAAGTAGGAGACCTAGGAGACCTACGCCTTCTATCACAAGCTAACCTTTTTGGCTTCATCCAGGTAAGTGTTCACTGAGTAGAACAACACGTCCTCCTGTGTAAGTACAGTTCTAGACAGCTATCTTAACTGGAGCAAATACCACAGGGCATTTCTTTTTCTTGTGTAGAAAATACATTTTATTGTGGATATGAAAATAGCAATCTTGATTAAGAGCAGAGATGTAACAGCAGGTGGTACAGATGCTTGGTCTGATCATCTACTGCTCAGCAGTAATTGACAGGAAGCTGGGTTCTTCCCCTTGTAGTTTAACAAAGTAGATGATGTCTGCTAGGTTTTATTTCTTCCTTCCCAACAAACCATTGCCATACATTAAGAGGTACTAAAAAATGTTATATTTGCAAAAGAAAACATCCATATAAATAGGCTTTTTAGTATCAATTGACAATTGTATTAAAAAAAAAAGTTACATTAATACTGATAAAAATAAAAATTGGCTTTGATAGCATATAAAAATGCTTCAAAACAAGCATATATAAATAACTTAATTTGTAAACATAGAAAAACCAATCTTATGTATATATAAAAATAAACATCTGATGCACTGTACAATAAGACATTATCCTTCATAGGCACTGGTTTCATTGACCCAGGAGTCCCCCTAGATGTTTTTCCTACAAAAACTGCTTTAACTCTAGTGCCATCTCCAAAATAAAAGGGAAAAAAAGCAAAGCACTGAGCAAATCTTTTGTGGACTGGCTAAAAGCCACTCATCTCCTCCTGCAATCCCGTCTTGAAGCAGCATTGGTGATAGCCAATAAATACACCTTGCTGCAGTTCCTGCTCACTTTTTCTAGGGCTTTAATGTATTACCTTGTTCAAGCTTCTTTGTTTTGCCTCCCCCAAAAAGGTACGACAGGGTGCAAATCTGGACATCTGCCTTTTGGTGCAGTTGCTGAGGCTGTGGAAGATGTGCAGTGCTGCAGGTGAAGCATCCCCTGACGCAGCTTGGCAGGCTGCTAAGAAAGGCTGAGCCTCACCCCAGGAGAATGGTAATACACTGAAGGTAATGTAAGAATGGCCACCTTGAGTAAACACAAAACAAATTTACAAGAAATGATGTGTTTTATTACTCTTCCTGCTGCAGCTGGGCAGGAGGAGCCTTGGGCTGATATGCCTCAAAACTACTATTTCTTAAATATCAATTTAAAATAGCCACTGTCACTTCATTTAAAACTTCTTAATATATTAATGATAGGAAGTAACATAGAAGCTGAGAGCCAAAATTACATCTGTGCAAAGATAGAGTTAAAAATAGATTTTGGCTCTTGAAGCTGTGGTGGGAGGTGCAGTGAGCTTGTGGTATGCTGGGAAAACATCTCTGACCCAAAGTACCTATGTGTGTTCCAGTAGCAGAGATGGCTCTGGTAAGGTGGGTGCTTGAATAAATGTTTCTCATCTGACAAATGTAAAATGCAACAGCCACGTGAAGAACGTGGGCTTCTGTGAGCTAAGGAAACTATTATAGCAGCCTTTATTGCTTAGAGAAGCTAGTTTAGGTGATTTCTGTACTACTGTGCTGAAGACCTACATGAAGTTACTTAGGTACTTGAGTTGGCTGTGGTTTTGTTTAATTTTAGGAACCTGTGACCAAACACTTGAAGCCTGACAACATGAGTATTGGACAGAGCTCAACAGCTGCCAGGTAACTGAGAGGGGAGACACTGTGCTTACTGCTGTAGAGGCGGCTGTTTGTGTTGTGAACAAAGAAATGATGATGAGAACAGGACCAGGCTGGATTTTCTGCTCTTAATGCTTCTAGGTAAAAGTAGAGACAGGCTGATGGAAAAAAGCCATTGTGGAAAAGTGCTGGAGCTACTCTTATGAGCGGGATTCAAATTTTAGGAACATGCTGACTACTCTGTACTACTTTCTATTAATGAGTTATTGTTTAGAACTGTCAGTTTGGTTTCTCTATTTCAAAGCACCTAATTTTGTAGTGCAGTAAAACTGTGTCCTGAGGTGTGGTGGTTTCCACTGTTGCTGCATAGTGTAGTGGTAATCGAAAATCCCTTGTACTGTACTGGCTATAAGCAGTCAGCCAACTATGAGAAAAGTCTGAGATGACTTATGGATGTCATGTTGCCTTAGCTTCTCTCCAAGGGGAAGTAAATAATTTACCATGGCAAGCTGACTCTAGCTGCTGCTAGAGGGATCTGTATCTGATATTTATCTCAACACAAGGCCGTGGCTTTGCATTTCTGCTCAAAAGTTTGTAAAAGGTCTCAAGCCACGTGAATACTATTTCCAGGTTTTAGTACATTTCATTGCTTCCATTGCCTTTTTTCTTGCCACTGCTCAAACTTTACTGAATGGAAAAGGTCAACTTTTTATAGTTCCTTGGAAATTGAAACAAAATGATACAATTCTGGTTATTGTAAAGAGAATTCTCTTCCTCTGCTATCGGTAGAGACAGCACTCCCTCCTGCTCACAGAGAATTTTCACAGCTGTTTCCAGAAGATAGGCTACTCATAAAACTTGCTGGGTTTCTTCTAAGCAGCATTAGCTAAAGTGATGTTTGTTATTTTTTTCCAAGCTATACGTTTTAGTAGTCCAGAATTAGCAATTAGGCTCCTCAAGTGAGGTTTGATTGTTCCTGATGTAAGAGCAGACATTTTACATTACCCTTATGGATGCTTGTGTCTCCTTGCTACCTTTCAGATGAATATTCCAGTTTCTTGATCAATGCTAACTGGCAAGGAAGTGTGCTAGTCGAGCAATGACCAAAGGCTGCCGCTTAGCGATGGAGCTCAGGAGCCGTGCTGGGATCGCTGGGGCACCCAGATCCACCTGTACAAGGTAGAAGAAAGGTAAGTGTTGCATGACCCATTTTTGAACACTTTCTCCAGGCTAAACTAGCTCTGTTGCTGCACATAAAATAGTAAGCACGAAAGTAGTTTACAGCCAAATACTGTAATTTCTGTGGTGCATTGGATCTTTTTCTTCCCAATACTCTGTAGACTTCAAAGGCTTTGCATATTTGATAGTAGTTTCAGCAAGTACAAACCACGCTGGTTCTGGGTTTGAGCTTAAATATTGTTAGTTTGAAACACAGGTTTGTAGTGTTACTGAAAATACATATTGAATTCCACTAATATATGCATAAAATGTGTAGAAAACTTTAAAATACATTGTAAAGGGATATGCTAATCATTACTATTTGAGGTTGCTTTTTTTTTTTAATTACCTATATAAAACGTGTTTTTTGCAAAGTTTAAAGGACTAATTCTAATTGTCACTAGCTGCCTTCTAAAATAAATAATGCAGCATGATATTCTTTTCTGGATGTATTTAGGTGGTTGGTGTCACTGTCCTAAAGGAGCCTGCTTTTTCAGATGACTCTGTAGTCAGTGGAGGGCGAGATTTTCTCATTCTTAACTAGAATCCTCATCTTCTCTATTGTGTTTATTTAAATGCAAAGACTTAATGACTTCTGTTGAAGAAAGTTAACAATGTGCATTTCCATACGTGTCAATAGTTTTAGCAGAGGTGGACTTCTATGTCTCCAACAAGACAGAAATGCAAGTGAGATTCTCCAGTCCCTAACACTGAACTATCATGTACTGGTTCACTATGCAAAAGCAGAATGTACAAAAGTTGTGAATTAACAGTTACAGAAGAGACTTGGTGTCCAAGGCAGCAGATTCACATAGTGTAAAAAAAACCTGTGGATCATGTACATAAAAGCAGAATCCTAATCAGACTGTTATCGAACGTGACGTACAGTAATGAATGGTCTTACCTGAGCCATGTAAATAACTCTGGTGATATCTCTTCCATTCACCACATCAGGTTCCAGGATCCATGCACTGGGCAAAATTTCCCCTCTCACCACGTCTTTACAAGGGTGAGGCATGGATGCATCATACACAGACTGAATAGCCAAGACAGACAAGTTCTTCTGCATGAAAGAAAGCGTAAAGAAGAGAATTTTAATTTTTTGATGCATGCAGTATTGTTTTGCTTACTTGTAACTGTTGCTTACCTCTTTGGCTTCTACAGTAATGCAGCAGAAATCCCGTGGCTGCTGTAGGTAACACAGGGAGGTATCAGTCACTAAATACACTGCAGAAAAAGTATCCAAAACCAACAACAAACAAAGGGAAAATTAATTAGGCTTTGACAACTGTAACTTGTCACACTTCCCCCCATCCTTCAAAATGCACAAACAAATTTTATTTGAACTTGCTGCAGTTAAGAGCAAAGTTCAAGCTAACATGAAGATGCTAATATTAAGATACTGTAATTAAAATGATGCTTTTTCAAAGCACCTGTATCTTATACTTCTGCAGCATATGATTTGTAATAGCTGTACTTTGAAAAAGTCTTGCAAAATGGAAGCTCCTACACTAAGTAATGAAACTGGCTCTTCAAGTCTGAAGAAACAAGATGAGATGACTGTATATTTCTTTCTGGCTGATCTGAGCTGAAGAGTCCACAATGATAGTTCTGGTCAGTCCGTGCAGTTGGTACTCACCCAGCTGAATGTGACTTGTTATCTTCTTGTGTATTCGAGCTGTGCTGATGGATCTGTCATACAGGTGCCTTTTGCCTGGATCTCTCACTAGTCCCCACACATATGCAAGAGGTCTTTCTATCACTCCTGCTCCCAAAAATCCGTGCTTTGTTGCTGAAGGGAAGACTTTGTAGTAAACCAGCACCTCCTTTTCTGTACATTGGTATCTGTCAAAGACAAATGAAAGGTATTGGCACAACAGATGATCAACTGCATTAAAGATCTCCCATTATAAACACCTGCCATAAACTTACTTCCAGCCAGCAGCTGCTTGACAGGTGTAGAGATTCCTCAGGTTATGAGAGCATGCTGCCATTACCTTAGAAAATAATGACAAATGTACATATAAGTGGAAGTTATCTACATTTTAAATTATGTTCAGCTTCTGCTGAAATTATCTGAAATTATGTTCAGTGCTGCTGCAGTATCTTCTACTCAAGCTATTCAGTGGGCTTTACAACAAATATTTAGTTTTCTTGTTCTAGTATTACTCTGGGAGTTTTAACAGTCAGACTGATAAGTCCAGCCTGAACAATAGTGTAGACCTCTGTGAGAAAACTGCACTGTGGGAAGCGTGCATCTCCAAGTCAAGTGATTCCATCTGATCTGAAATGTGAAGTTTGCATGCTTTGCTTCTGGCTACACAGGCATACAGGTATTTAAGACTTGCACTGTACAAACTCTTAGGAGCTAGAAGCATTCAGCATTATCACCAGCTTCACTTGAATATTTCAGCTCACGTGCAGCGGTCATTCCTGTGCTCCACTGTTACAGCCTGTTTCCTCCCACTATTTAAAACTGCTCAGCATATCCTGCTATACCCAGCACTAATTACCTACTAGGAGTGCAGAAGAATAAGATTTGTCTCACACACTTTCATTACAACATCCAGTAGAAGGAATAAGCAAAAACTGTGCTTATTTACTCACCTCGGTGGTAGCATTAGCCAAGATATGTTTGGATAAATCTTGGTATCCTTGTGTTGATGAGGAGCTTACTGAAATAGTTAACCCATGAGTGAACCTACAACTGATGCTGTCTGAAGGAAGTGGTGGCTCAATTCTGCTGTCTTCTGCAGGAGACAAAATTGTCATAGGAAAGTAATAAAAAGGAAAATGATCACTGAAGTGGTGCAGAAGATGTAGCATTGAGCATTCAGAGGAACTTCAACCCTCCTAAAGAAAGACTGTTATCATTCTTGGTCTGGACAGCCCACATATTGGTAATTACATTGCAGTTACGTTTTGCATTACTCAAGTATAAACATTATTAACTACATATAAGCTAATAACCTAAAGAATAATATGAAACGTGACTCTGGGAATACAAATAACAACTTGCATGTACAATCCTATACTCTTAGCCCCATGCTTCTTCGGTTCATTCAAGACATTATCCTCCTCGCAGCCTCTCCAAAGACTGTATAGCAATGCTACAACATCAGAAGAACAACTTTCTTAAGAGGAACTAAATCTCCAATTACTTTTCTGTACTTTAGCTACTGCTGACAGTATTTTTTTTCTGAATTCATGTAATGGTAAGACAGCTTCAAAATACTTAGAATCAAATTAGATTGGGATTAGCATAAATAAGAAACCTCATTAGGTTTTGGGATACAACACAGAAATAAGCAGGTGAACATATACTTTACTTACCCAGTGTTGAATCCTTCTGTAGCTGCTCTATCATAAAAAGCTGACTGTTTCTAACAGCTGAACGACCACGTGTGTCTCTTGAAAGCAGTGCACTTCCAGAAGAAACCTGGTTTAGCAAAGAGCAGAAGTGGAGACTTTTGGCTTGAACCAAGAAAAATAAATTGTTACATTATCACGAAGAATATCTGTAACCAGCCTGCCTTTACGAAACTGGAAGCTTGACGTTATGACAAGTTAATTTCTTTGCCTCTCAGCTGGTTATGGAATGATACGATAGCTTAACTGAGGAATTTCAGCAGACAAGTATGACAAGCTAGCATAGGTGCACACTCCAAAAAGCAGTTTAAAGTAAGGTGGTGTTCACACACACAAATCCCTGAGTGCATCTCTCTTCAATGAGGAAGGCACACTGAAAATACTAGATTCTGGCTCATCACAAAAAAATGTTCCTTATTGCTAAAATGTGACAGACAGTGGCACTGCTGTCAGTAATAACACACTGGCTTTTACTTACAAGTTAAAAAAAAAAATCTGAAAAATGAAATTGTCACTGTCCTTTGCAGGACATGTTTAATGCTCCCTCCTCCCCCGTGTAGGCCATCTATGTGTTAGTTAGGACACAAACTTGTCCTGCTTGATAGCTGTGACAGAATATAAACCACCTAGAATTTCTGTCCTTGTTATCTCTCTTACTGTTAAAGCATTAGGGGATGTTGGTCTTGCAGGCCAGTTATTTCTCACCTGTCCTTCCCAGCTGCTCAGTTTACTTGCAGTGTATGTAGCAGTATTGCTACTGTTGTAACCTGATGTTGGGCCAGAGGATAGACTGAGGCTGGATTCTGTACATAAGGTGCTCGTACTTGCAAGAGTCTTCAGCCTTGCTTCCTCCTGTAATAGAGATCAGAGCATCACAAACTTGTATAGCACTTAGTCAAATCAGTAACAGCACTGGAAAATGACAGAGGAGTAACATGAAGTCCATTTTCTTTCAAGGAGCATTGGTAAAAGCTGTTACTTTTTGCTTCATACAGAAGATATTTAATAAGCAGGCTCATTTGAAACTAAGATTATATGAGCAAATCAATGCATCAGTCTAGGAAAATCTGGATAACTGGAGCTTCTGACATTGTTCCTTTGCTAAAAGAGTCCAGGCTTTCTTTCAAACCAATTCCCAGACATCTTAAGGGGGAAAGAAGTTTTAAAAAAAAGGTCTTTTCTCAGTCCCATTTGTCACTTTTTTGCCTAATTCTTTTGCTTAAATTATTGGTCAAATTCAGTTGTTAAACACTGAAGATCTTACTGCAGCTCAGTGCCAGCCCAAAAGATGAAGAAAAAATTACATAAGAAAATACTGAGAACTTCAAGATGATTTATTCTTAAAATAAAGGGTACTTTAAGTATTTGGTTTTCAATTCAGCTGAAGTTTCACATGAGAAGTATGGAAACAGATGTGTTTAGAACCAGTCACCCATTGGAGATTCCTGAACTCTAGGTGCCTTGCAGGGCAGAGAGCAATGAAATGACAGTTCACCACCTATGAGAGGAAGGCTGCAGTTCTAACTAAAACTGCACTGTCAGGCTGTGACAGAGATTAGTGCATGAAGGTGTAGTCAGAGACCAGGCAGAACACGTACCTTCC